ATTCGTTTGTCTAATAAATATGTCAGACTGTAAAAGGGTACCCTGTTATGTAAGCTGCAGATTTGGTCAAAAAAAAAAATCTTAACATGCTGGGTATGGTGTTGCATGCCTTTAATCTCAGCACTCAAGGTAGAGCGGAGGCAGAGGCAGAGGCAGGCGTCTGTAAGTTTGGGGCCAGCATGGTCTACATAATGAGTTCCAGGCCAGCTGGGGCTACATAGTGAGACCCTGTCTCAAAAATAAATAAAATTCAGAATATACAAATGGGGATTTTCCCATTATTTTCTAATTCTTAAAGGTTCACTGAGCTGTCAGAATTGACAAACACGGCTTTTACTAAGAGAAACTTTCCTTCCCCCATTACTGGGATTGAACCTGGGTCCTCTGACATTCTAGGCAAGTGCTCTACAGCTGAGCTGTGCACTCAGTCCTTGAAACCTGTCTTCAAAAACCTTCATTTGGGAGCTGGGTGAGTTTCGGGCCAGCTGGGGATACACAGAGACCCTGTTTCAAATACCAACAACAACAAAAAACAGCAAACAAAACAAAACAACAAAATAAAAACCTCAAACTAATTTTGGGAACTGGCGAGATGGCTCAGAGATTTTTACTGCTTGCAGAGGACCTGGGTTCGGTTCCCAGAGCTCCCATGGTGGCTCCCAACAACCTGTAACTCCAGTTCCAGGGGATCTGATGCTGTCTGCTGCCCTCAGCCCAGATTCCTGAATGCACGTGGTGTCCATATGCAGGCTCACACATACACACATATAAATAAAACATATAATCTTTAAAAATCCTTTAATTTTCTACAGATGGCCTTCAAGGCCTAAGGCAATGCCGCAGTGTGAAGTGGTCAAAGTCTGAGGGTCCCTTGCTCTCAAGGAAGTGTGCACTTACGCCTTTTATTCTATGGGAGAACACACTAGGTCATCAGGCTGGGTCCTACTTGAAATTCATGCATTTAAAGGTGTATTATTGTGTCATTACCCTTCAAAGGTAAAGGAGTTCAAAATACTACAAGAAACCTGTTTAAGAAACTAAAACTTGAAACACATAAGAATTCAATAAAAAATTAAAAATAAATAAAAGGCATGAAAACTTGGCAAGGTAAAAATGTTGAACATTTTCCTTCAGTGGGAAGAAAAAAGCAGCCACCTGATTAACTTCAGCTGGGCTTCCACATCGCTCAAAGGCCTGCGCGGTTCCGAGTGGGTCGGAGCCGAGGACTGGCACTTGTTGGGGAACCTGCTGTTAATTGACTTCTTTCTTAGCAGGAGCCTCCTGTCCTCTGCCTCAGTTACCTGGAAAGTGCCTCCAAGCACAGATGCCTGACCTTATTTGGAACATGACCTTTGGCATAGTTACCTGCAATAAACTGCCCCCAGGTTTTTTCTATATGATAATTAGGCACTGCCCTATAGCCAGGTGATAGGATCCCCCTACCACATGTAAATAAAGCATACTCTGAGCACCTATCAGCTGAAGCATTGGCTGCTGCCTCCACACTATATTTTCCCTGACCCCCACTGAATAAACGGAGCTGTACCACTGAAACTGACTCCCTGGAAGGCCTTTTCCATCATGCTCACTGGCCATCCTGGCCTTGTTCATTGCTTCTGCTCCCTTTGTTCTCGTGGATCAGTGGCCAATGGCCCACGAGGGGAGGGAGAGACCCCACGTCCCTAGATGAGGGAAGACCTGCTTGGCTCCCGTGGTTTTCCTCTTTCAGCTTCTCTCAGGCTTACCATTGTGAATGGAGGACATCTGCAATCCCCCAGGTCAGCAGGACAGCAGCCAAGACGCCCAGCGAGGTGCTCTGCCCCACCCTCATGCCCTCTGGATTGCCTTGGCACTGGAAAGTGGCTCTGCAATGTTTCCTAGTGGCAAGCTTCACCATCCATGTGGTCATGTTCTCACAAAAGGAAGGTGTGTGTTTAATTCTGGAGAATTGGCGGGCTTCTTAACAGCTCACACTGAGTAGAATTCCACTGACTTTTTAATTCTTTCGTCTGTGGACTTAGGGGCTTCCTCTTCAATAGCAACACATTACATTTCAAGATATCTGATATTTAATAAAATGGAAGGAGCAATCTATCTCACAGTTGAACCACCAGTGCCAGCCTTACTAGAACTCAGCAGAGTGCCTTTTAAGGGAGATGCAGTCACATGTAGTACTGATCATCACAGTCCAAGAATAACATACAGTGTTTAAAGACCCAGTGTTAGGCCAGGTGTGGTGGTGCATGCCTTAAATCCCAGCAGAGGCAGAGGCAGGCCGGTCTCTGTGAGTCTGAGGCTAGCATGTTCTACATAGAGAGTTCTAGGCCAGTCAGGGCTACATAGTAAGACCCTGTCTCAACACACACACACACACACACACACACACACACAAACAACAACAACAACAACAAGCCTCAGTGTTGAATTAAAGGCGGTACACAAGTGCTTTGAGTAGGAGACTTCACAGTTCAGGCAATGGCTCCTGGAACTCTGCCACCCACATGCCAAGAAAAAATGCAGAGGCATAACAGGGATGGTGTGTTGTTTGGTTATTTTCCTCACTTCTAAGAGAAAAGTGTACGAAGCAAGGTGACAAAGAAGTGTCACCACAGCACCGCACAGAAGTCCAGCAGCTTGGAAAGCTGACATCTTTCAAGGTGGAAAGACTGAGTGCACCCCAGTCTCCTGCAGGAGCAGGGTCAGGTCTGCAAGGACTATCCACTTGCCTGCTCCATAGCTTCCACTAGGCTAGTTTTTTTTTTTTTTTTTTTTTTTAAGTGATAGTTTAAGAAAAAAAGTCTTTAATCCCAGCATTCAGGAGGCAGAAGCAGGTGGAATGGAATTCTGAGTTTGACGCCAGCCTAGTATAAATAGCAAGTTCCAGGCCAGCCAGGATCACATGAGGAGACCCTGACTCCCAACCCAAACCAACCCCAGCCCAAACCAACTAACCAACCAAATACAGAAGAGAGAGAAAGGCACTCCAAGAGCTGATGTTGACCAGAGAGCTGGGAAAGGCCAGAGGGCAAAGGTCCCGGTGTGAGAGCTTCTATTCATCATCCAGTACCTGCCCTTATGCATTCTGTGACCTTGGGGCCTGTGCCCCCTTTGCCCTGCACAAGGTTTGCTGCATGTAACAGGAGGTCACAGGGGTTTCCAGCCTTCCTCTGCCACCAGTTTCTTTACTATGCCAATCTTGATGCCTCTGGAACCTCCCTTTCCACTGGGCTAGTTTTAGTAGGTTTCTTACCACTCATTCCATCTATACCTTACATTGATAAATCGCTGATGATAGTCAACAAACAAGGTGGGTGACAAAACACACTTATTCAAAGAATTTTCAGTTGGGCACTCTTGCCGGAAAGCCTTCTCTACGAACATCCCTACCTACAGATGCATCCCTACCTACAGACATATCTCTGCCTACAGATGCATCTGTACCTACAGACAAACATCCCTACCTACAGACAGCCCTACCTACAGACAAACATCCCTACCTACAGACAGTCCTACCTACAGACAGCCCTACCTACAGACAGCCCTACCTACAGACAAACATCCCTACCTACGGACAGCCCTACGAACATCTTTCTGTCACTTCTCCCAGCTCCTATTTTCCCAGCACTGGGCCTGCAAAACTAAGATGTTATTTGTTTGTAAGTAAAAGTTCCCAAGGGAAGATTTTATCTTACACACACACACATACACACACACACAAAGACAGGGTTTCATTATGTGCTACTGCTTGGCGTCTAACTCACTATGTAGACCAGGCTGATCTTGAACTCACAGAAATCTGCCTGGTGGGATTTAATCTGTGGGGGATTAAAAGCTGTGGGCTGCCATGCCTAAGTTTTTTTCTAATATAAGAGTTACTACGTCTGATTTCAAATAAGAGTCTCTATTCCTTGTTAGAACATTCAGCCATCAGTAAATACAAAGATATCCTCTTTACTTGTGTAAGTCACTAACCAAGCTGGACAGACAGCTTTGCGAATTCACACAGCCTGTCATGGACATGTAGTCACTGGAAAGACAACTGTTAGCATGTAAGAATCTAAACCAGGCAGATTTTAACATATATTTTTTTTATTAAATATGTAAAAAGATCAACGCAAGTCAAGTTATTCACATATTCAGAGACAAAAAACTATCCTACCATGCGACAATGGGTGGATGATGTGAAATGAATGTGATACATCTGAGTAAGACTTCTCATCTGTTATGTCATTACTTATCTATATTTATAATTAACGATACATATGTTTACATTCCTTTCAGTTTACATTTAATATATAACAAAAGCTTTATGGTGTACTATTTAGTAAAAGTAATCTGAATGCATATTAAACCTTAACGGAATAATGGAAATACTCACCAGGGAGGGGAGGGAAGCTTGGTTCCCTTCTGGAGTTTGCTTCTCTCAGTTCAACAGGGTGTTTAAAATAATTTTTCCTGCTTCTTTGCTTAGAATGAACATGAACTTTCTCTCTGTTCCCTGCTTCAGTCACTTCCAATCTGACAGTGGCGATGGAGATGCTATAACCAGCCGACAGTGGGTGGGTAGGGGGCTAAGGAAAAACACTTCCTGAGAGGGAGGGGTAGGGCACACATCCTGGGATGCTTCTGGACCCAGCATGATGTCATATGACTTGGATGGGGCTTATAGGAATGTGTGTCCTGAATGTCAATAAAGGAGGATGGAGTCCCACCACCCACAGGTAGTGGGTGCCTAGAAGCAGGGGCTGCGGCTCAAGAATGACTTGGAAACAGCTGTGAAGGATTCCCCAAAGCATTCATGGCCTCAAGTGGGACACAGTGCTACAGATGTTTAAGACGGGCACAGGGAGAGGAACGTACAGCTCTTCTCTGGATGGATGGTGTGGCCCAAGCTGTTAGAAGGAGAACAGAGCAAGCTACCAGAGGTTTCTTTGCAAGCTGACATGTGGCCAGTGTGTCTCCAGCTAAATAGGCTGTGGAGGTGGAGAGGAACAGTACTTCCAGCAAGAGGAATCATCAGCGAGCCTACATGAGCTCAACAGTATCAAGAGGCTTGGGAGAAGACAGGGTCCTGACTCCCTGTACTCATTCACAGGAATGTGGCTGTGAACCACTTGGCCCTGGGTTTTACTGAGATGTCCAGGGCAGGTAAAGAATTGCTAGGAGCCGCTCAAGTATCTGTGAGTAGCTGTTTAGTGTGCCTCTTTATAAGAACTATTAAAAAAACAAAGTGAGAACAACAGGTCGGGGGGCAACATACCACTAAGCCTGATGCTGTATACAGCATAGCCACTACCTGTAACCAGGCATGGGAGGACGTCACTGCGGGGACACAGGCTTTCTAGCCTCAGAGAGATGAGCTGCCTCTGCCGGCTGAGCGAGCAGGAGAGAGAAGAAAGGGACACCGAGCACCATGGAACATCTGTCCAGTTCTGCACAGTGTGTTGTACTCAAAAGTACAAGCCATCTTTTCCACATAGAACTCAATAAATACAACTTTGCTGCAAAAGATTTATTTTGGAAAGACTTCTCTTGGTGAAAAGCTTCGATGCTAGAACTTCGGATCAGTATTTCATCAATTAATAAAGAAATTTCAAAGCTTTATGATGCATAATTCAGAAATTTATTTTGAGCTTTTCGGTTAAGTGGAAAGTGGGGTGGGCACATTTATTTATTTTTGTTGTACCTGCTAATTAAATAACAAGTGACAGTAAACCTAATGTTCAAATCAAATGAAATGAAAGGTCTAGGAAGAGAAATCATCTGACAAAAAGGGTGGGGAGAAGAGGCAAAGATTTGGAAAGAGACTAAGAAAATGTGCAAATATTAGTTAAAAAACAAGGAATGCTTTAAATTCATCAATGTTTCCTGTTTATGAATTGCCACAGTTTAGCAAATGTCAATGACACGGAGGGTCCTTGTGTTGCTGAGGGGATCCCTTATTCTGGGAGTCATGGGTGTTTCTTCCAGAACACATTTCTCCCTTACAACTGTACTATCAGAATCATGCTTCTCCCTTACAACTGTGCGATCAACTGGGTCTTTACTCCCAGCCTTGCACCAGCATGGCAACCCAGAATCCTGGGGCCATGGCTGCAATCCCGACCTAGAACCCTGGGGTCATAGCCGCAATCCTGGACCCAGAACCCTGGGGCCATGGCCGCAATCCCGACCTAGAACCCTGGGGCCATGGCCGCAATCCTGGACCCAGAACCCTGGGGCCATGGCCGCAATCCCGACCTAGAACCCTGGGGCCATGGCCGCAATCCCGACCTAGAACCCTGGGGCCATAGCCGCAATCCTGGACCCAGAACCCTGGGGCCATGGCTGCATGCTCTGAAGTTACTCTTTAGTAGGAATCCCTTATCATAACTGGCAGGACTTGGGTTGGAACCCATAGAAGGAGAAAGAGGGGTAGGGTGGAGGACTTGTGCCTTCTGAGACCCCCTTTGCACTGCAGGTTACTGATGACATCATCTTGGGGAGAAGGGCTGCCCACTGAAGAGGACCCTGAGAAAGAAAATAACAGGGGAACCTGGGAAGGGAGGGAGGGCAGGGCACAGGGGTTGAGGGCAAAGCTGAGATGGTGTTTTCCTTGAGTGAAGCCTTTGAAAACTAACAACTGTGTGGTTCTCTAACACGTGGCTCTATCAACACTGCTGGGCCCTGAAGTCCTAGTTTCGAATCCATTTTTTTTTCCCTTCAGTGTTGTGAGTAAAGGGAGAAACAGTGTTTCCCCTCACGACACAAGCTACTGTCATATGGCTTTCATATCAAGTATCTGTTTCCCTTTGTTCCAATTAGTTATCTGACCAAATGATTGGAGGTTAGACTTGCAAACATCAAAGCACCACAGACGCATGTGACAGTGACACAGGGTTGAGAAATGCCAATATAAATACCATATATCAAATTACCATTGTTTCACACCAGGATAAAAAGGGGTGATGGTGGTGGTGGCAGTGGTGGTGGTGGTGGTGGTGGTGGTGGTGGTGATGGTGGTGGTGGTGGGGTGGGGAAAGAGTTGTTCTGGAAAGAAATGAGGGAAAGAGCAGACCCAATCTCAAGCAGCCAAGTGGGGAAGGTGAAGGTACCAAGCCTACAGTCTGGCAGGCAGTGACCTGAATGGCCATCTGTCAATGCATCTTGGCGAAGGAAATAGAACCAAACGCAGTGGCTGGTGGGTGCAACAGTGCGTCATCGATGGTAACGGCAGGTTGGGAACGGCTGGTTTCTACTGAGCTTGAGGCCACACATGTTCCAATTCTCCAGAAGAAAAGTCCCCACACACAATGGAAGTGTCAAGAGTGGCTGAGACAGCTCAGTATTCCTCTTGCTGCTGGGGCTGCTGGTCATGGGCCGTTCCAATTCTCCAGAAGAAAAGTCCCCACACACAATGGAAGTGTCAAGAGCGGCTGAGACAGCTCAGTATTCCTCTTGCTGCTGGGGCTGCTGGTCATGGGCTTGCTCCTCTGCCTCAGGCTCTTCTGTTTGGCCCTCCTGTGGGGGAGGGGAGAAGGTTCAGCTAAGATTTACTATATCAGGCCTAATATCACAGAACATGGTGCCACCAGGCTCCAGAGAGCACCAGGTGCTGGCACAACTTGCAATGGAACTGTTTTCAGCTTCCAGCCGTTAACACATTCACAGGGACACATTTGCATTCCTGTGCCATCAAAGAACCATTCTGCAAAGTGCAACCACAAGGCTTTGAGGACCCATCTTTTCCTCCAACTGTTTTGCAAGGGGATCGTCACAGAACACATTCTATACTTTCATAACCTTGGTAAAAAACATCAGCCAAACACAGTGACTCCAGAGCCTCATGATAACCACAAACGAGCCAGCTAAGACCTAAAACAAGAACCCCCTTTCTGTGATGAGTGGAATGGTTGCCCCTCCCTAACATCCCAAGATGCACTGCTTTGGATTCACTTCCTGTGCCCTGGACACTGCCATCTCTCATGCCTGGTCATGTCTTCTGGAAACACTGTTTTCTTATAACCTAATGCCAATCTGCAGTAGACCTCAGAGAAGCAACTTGTTACTTCTGAGGGGCAAGGAAGGAGCAACAGGCACGTTTCATGGGCTGCCCTAGGCAAAGAGGTCCCTCTGGGCCCAGAGCCCAGGAGAACTCAAGGATCAACCTGCCATGTGTTTAGGGTGCTGAGGTGCTACCTGCTTACCTCCTGCTCACTGACTGATAGGGGCAGGGTTCCTTTCTTTGGCTCCACATGTCACTGAAGTGTATCACAGGCATCAACCTAGCCTTAGTTACAAAGCCTTTTGTTTTGATCCCACAAAGAATAATGACCTCTTTACCACACAAGCAGGAGTGAGGCGGATCAATAGTTCCTTACTGCCCCCCAGGAAGGGCACGGGGCTTCAAGGTGCAGTGTGGTGCATGGACCAGCACAGTCAGAAGGGTTCAGGTCTGGCATACTTGGCAAACTGATTCCTGGCCTGCCAAGCCCATGTCCTTCCTACCTGGCCCCTATTTCCTGTAGGCCAAGGCAAACCTGTCAAGGTTTGAGTTCAGATAGGACACCACCATCTCCTGAGCCAGACCATGTCTTTCCCTCTCTTTTGCAGCACAGTGTTATTCTTCTGTTAAAAACTCACTTGGGGGCTGGGAATATAGCTTCTTTGGCATAAGGCCCTAGGTTAGATCCCCAGCATCGCAAAAATAAACAAATGAAAAACCAAATAAACCAACAAAACATCAACATCAAGCCCCCCGCCCGCCCCCAAACATAACCTCACTTGGAATCTTGCCTGTTTGGAACCATTTGGCCATATGTATCGGATCCTGAGGCCAGTGAGACAGGGGGAACACCTTGTTCAATCCATACTACAGTATTCAACATATGTCAAAAAGAGATCAGGCTCAAGGATGGATGACCAAGGCTATCAACCAAGGCTGTGTGGCATTTTCTCAGAGAAAGTATAATGTTGGGGTTATATGCATGAACTTTGGGGTTCACATATCAGCTCTGTAATCTACAAGCTGTGAGACTTTGGGCTTGTAATGTAACTGGTCTGTAGCTCAGTTTTTTTTAATCTGCAACGTGAGACAATAATGTAGAGAGTTTATGGTATGTTTGACTGATCAAGTCATCAATGGATTCATTGCGCCCAACAGAGAAGTCAATGAGTTAAAACTGGTAAATGCCTAGATGGATGTTTTTCATCTAGTAAATGCAAGTGTGAGCTGTGATTATGATTTCTTAGTGGAAGAGCTCTCGAATGTATTTCAGAACTGCCAATAATTAAGAGAAAGCCAAAAGGAGAAAATGACATTGGAGACCCGAGACTGCCTCTAACTGGCTCCCAGGCAACGGCACAGTATTTGGTAAATGTGAGCTCTGAGGGCGTCTACCACCACACACTGTTGTCACCTCCTAGGACTCCATCTTTGGAAGCTGAAGGCTCAGTATCTTATTCTCTCTCTTGTTTTTCTGATCCTCACACTCTCAGCCTCTAACTGCAGACGTTCTTTGACTTCAGGGAACAGAGTCCTGAGCCCACAGCATCTAATGGTCTCCAGGTGCCAGGCACTCTGCCAGCTGCTTGGCGTGGACGATAACAGTCCTCTCAGCTTAAGAAATCAGGGCCTCAGCTGACAGTGGCACTGCCACAGGGAGTTACATGCTGTGGCAGAATAGGCCAGGAAGTGGGTGCTGGCCTCTAGAGCAAGTACTCTCCTGTCCTGAGGAGTGAGGGACTGCTGGAGGGAAAGTGCACAGAAGCGTGGTCTGCTGGCCTTAGGAAAGCACTGCTTCCCGAAGCCTCTGTCCCTGCTCTTGACCCCACGTGAACGCCCTCTGGCTCCGCACCTTTTACTCTTACTTCTGTCAGAGAGCACACTGGGTCCTGTCTGTGTGCATCCTACTGAGTGGGCACAGGTCTCCTCTCCAGCTAGGCTCGACCTCCACTGCACTGGGTGCTGTTCTGCGTGGCGCTAACTCTCCAGTCCACCCCTGCGGGCTTCGTGTCGTACCAATCCGCTCTCGGCCGGTCTGGGGCACGCTTTCCCTACAGAACTGTGTTTGTATGCGAGACTGCTGAAAGGAAAGTCTCAGGTGTGAGGATGTTTTCCGCTTTACAGAGGATCCCAACACCGTCGGGACGTAGGTGTGGGACAGCAGCGTTAACCCTGAACCTGCAGTGGGAACACCGAGCGCCGGTGGGTGACTGCCGGCAGGAACAAGCTGTGGGACCACATTCCTGCCACGAGCCGGCTCCTCCCAGGACCTCACCGAACAAGGAGGTGGTTCTGTGGTCTCTGGCGGGCCAACGGCTCCCCAGACACACTGAAGAAGTGCCAGCGGTGGTGCCGTCCCCCTCAGACGTGCAGCTCTCCAGAGCACGCCTACTGGGAAGCCTGGCACGAACCGCAAACATACCAACTTATCAGCGGTTTTGCTAATCCTTGGGAACAAGCTTATTCCGAGAGTTCCCAGCCCTCACAGTGCCATCACAGGTTCCAATGAAAAAATGTGAAAAACAACCCTGTAACTTTTGCTTAAGTGTCATGGACTAAAGTCACACAGGAAAGGAGGCCAGGCCACACCTATGCCGAACAGGAGACTGATGCATTGGAACTTAATTCTTATATCTCCATGTCAACTCAATGTATATTTGTAAATGGTTGGCTGTGTTGTCATTCTTTATTTTACTATAATTGTTAGTAGGGGAGGCAAGTGGGGAAATAGTGCCTTGGATCTGTGCCATTAGGAAAATGAAGTCAAAGATGGGGGTGGTCACGAGAAGCTTGTTTCTGCTTCTGGATGCCAACGGGCCACCTGGCCTCATCCTCAAGCTGATGTTCCTGCTGCTGGATGCCGACGGGCCACCCGGCCTCATCCCCATTGAGTGGGCTGTTCTCTCCTCTCTGGTCTTGGCTCGGTAACTGCTGATCTTCCCGGTCCCCGTTCGACACGCAACAGGAACGCCAGCTTGACGGTGATGCCTGCTAGCTCTCCAGCCTGTCTCTATGTGCTCCCCCCACACATTTATGTTTCTGCTATCACATTTCTCACAGTCTGCTACAGCTCCCAGTCAGGTGTGTCCCCAGCTGTCTCCCTCCCCAGGTCCTCAGTATTTTTTTTTTAAAATTATTATTTTTAACTTTTATTTTATGTGTATGTGTGTAATTGCCTGCATGTAGGTAAGTGCACCTGTGTCGTGCAATGCCCGCGGAGGTCAGAAGAGGCTGTCAGATCCCCTGGAACTGGAGTAGTTACGGACAGTTGTCAGCTGCCATGTGGGTGCTGGGATTCGAATGCGGGTCTTCTGTAAGAACAACCAGTGTTCTTAACCGCTGAACCATCTCTCCAGCCCCAGTACTCAGTATTTGGTCCACCATGGTGCAGAAATTTCTGTGTCAGAAATACAGCCTGTATCCAAAACGTGTTGAGGAGAAAGTCCTTAAGTCATTTTAACAATGGCTTCCACGACAGTCAGGACCTCAGAGACCGAATAATTCTTTATAAGTTATATACCTCTGCAGACAGACTCTCTGAGGAAGCAGGCAACCAGTGACGCCAACACACCTGCCACCCAGTCACACACGAAGGGGAAAGAGGTGAAAATGATGAAGAGATGCTCTGCGTGGCTGGCTGGAAATCAGTCTGGAAACTTCCACTAGGCTTCTATACATCAAAATTGAACAACCTGTAGATGGTCCCTACTCCAAGTTGGAGTTTCCCATCTTCTAAACATCATATTCTGGGACTGTTTGACTATAAGGACCAGGGGTGAGTCACCATCAAAATAAAGTGCCAAGACATCACATGGGGGGAGAAACCCCCTGCAAATACCCCTCCCTGGAAAGTCAAGCCATCTTCATACAGTTTAAATGGACTGTACACATGGCAATCTAGCCTTTGATTCTTCAACCCATCTCCCATCTCCAGGAGGGCTCTGGGCCACCCAGCTAGCCCGCCGTCTCTGTCTCTCAGATTCACGCCCAGAGCTTCAAAGTACTGATATTTCTTCCTGGACTCAATGTACACCAGACCTGAATGGGAGTGTAGACTGGCCTGGACACAGGACACAGCATCAAACAAGCACGGTGGGGCAAGAGGAGGCTAGGAGAGCACAGATGGGAGTGCGTGCTGGTGCAGCCCCTGAGCACAGGTTTCTAAAGATGCCCGTGAAGGTAGCAGCTTTCTTAGGCTTAGGCTTTAGCTTGGTGCTAGCTGTGCTTCAGGAAGGTTGCCACAGAAACAGGACTCATCACCCTTCAAGTCTCTGAGGTATCTTGGTTGACTCCTAGAGCCTCTAGCAGGGAAGCAGAATGAGGGTAGGCTGCTCCTGAGTCCCTCCATACCCATTTTGGTAGGTGGGGGGGGGCAGAGGGAGGGAGGGAGGGAGGGGCTGAGAGAGAGAGAGAGAGAGAGGAGGCTGCATGTGTGTGCATGTGCACAGCATGGCATACAAACCCACCCAGCTCGGTGTGTACACAGAAGCTTTCCCTCTTATTGCAGAAACCAAGGTCTGGGAGCGTGGTGCCAGGACCCGCCTTGCTCTACGCAAGGAGAGCTGAGAGACTGTAGATCAAATGCCTTACTCTCCATGGGAATTGCACTGTAGCCTGATGTGCCTCTTGGGTACTCCAGACACAAAAATCACAATGCTGGAATTGGAAAACTTAAGCCAGCAACTAAATTTTAAGGTGTTGTTAGAGTAATACAGAGTTAAAATCTATTTTCCCTTTTGGATTCTGTTCGATTACTCTTTCTTCTTTGAGATAGTTTAGCACACACTTAAATAGGTTTACAAATGTCTCTACTCCTTACTACAATTCTCCTGCTGATAGCCCAAGGGATGAGGGTATTGCTCAGTGCTAGAGCATGTTTCTAGCATGCATGAGTTCAATTCCTGGTACCAAAAGCTCCACAAAAAGCAGACATACACACATACACACACACAGACACACATATAGACACACAGACACATACACAGACATACACACACACAGACATACACAAACACACAGACACACAGGCATACACACAGACACACATACAGACATACAGACACACACAGACACATACACAGGCATACACACAGACACACACACAGATACACATACACAGACACATACACAGGCATACACACAGACACAGACACACACACACATACACATACACACGTGCATGCATGCACACGCAGCTCAAGCAAGATCTTGGGATTCAGATTCTAGCTGCTCACAACTAAGGCAGGGTATTCACTGATCCTGTTTATGGTCAGTTTCCCCTCATCTGTAAAACAGGATGACACCAAAATACCTGTTAAGATTCTCAAGAGAATCAAAGAACTAAAATACGTAAAGCCCCCAGGCCCCATCAGTGTCTGAGAACAGAATCTAATAAGCCCATTCATTCTTAGTGACCGGTGAAGCTTTACACGAGTGCTCCTGGGCCGTCTGCACTTCAATGATGTCCACAGTGGGAGTGGCTCTGTGGCTCCAGCAGGCAGCAGGTGCACTGGGGTGTGGAGGTGGCGATGGCAGAACAAAGCTGTGTGGACACCAGGAAGGACCCCCTGGAGGACACCAAAGCTCCTGCCTTGGGCTGCCCTGCCTATCCTCAGCCAGAAATTCAGTGGCCTGTGACCACTCCGCCCAAAGAGCTCTCCAGGAAGTGCTTGGCACCTAGGTCTCTGGGACCCGCTCTCACTCTGAATTGGTTTTCTCTCCTGCCACAAGAGCCTGGCTGGGAAGATCCAAGCCTGCATGCTGGCCTTGCCCCAGTGAGCAGCATGACCACAGACACTGCCCGCCCCTCCCCTGCACTCCTGGAATGCACAGTGCTCATCTGGTGTCACTGTGACGAATGTATGCTTGACAGACCACATACGGAACATTAGGTACACCCACTGGCCGCAGGCACACTACAAATCAGCCTCTATGCTCAGAACCACATTCTGTGACATCATCATGGCCTCCAGGACTTAACTAGGCAGAGTCTCAAAAAAATCTGCATTCTGGGCTACAGTAACCAAGAAAGCAGCAGTGAAATCAAGTGTCCCTAAATCCGGATGCAGCTCCTTACAGCTGAGGACAGTTTCCTTGCTGGAATTTTAAGCCACATGTGAAATAAACATCTGCCTGGCATGCTGCTGAACTAAGACAAAGCAAACTGGCTGGTGGCTCACCATAGTCCATGGAAACGCTAACACTCGTGATTCCCACAGCACCCTCTGAGCATCCACAGGCCTCCAGGTCAGAGGGCCAAACACTTTACCAGCTTCCACCCAGCCCTGGCCTCTCGCTTTCCACAGCTCAGGGCTGCAGAGGGGAAGTTCCCACAGGGCTCTCACTTCTGCCTCTGGGGGCCAGACAGACCTTCACCCTCAGACACAGGCGGATGTCGGCGACTCACCAAGGTTGCTACCATTCATCTTGTCCTTCACATCCTTGGTCCAGAACATTCTTCCCTGCTCCTAATGTCAACGTTTCCCTCTCCTCCTCCTCCTCTCCCTTTTACCCCTTTTCTCCCCTCCCTCCTCTCTTCCTGTTTGGTTTTTTGAGATAGGGTCTCATGTAGCCCAGATGGCTTTGAATCCATTATGCAGCTAAGACTGCCTTGAACTGCTGACCCTCATGCCTCCTCCACCTCCCAAGTGCCAGGACTATAGGTGTGCACCACCACGCCCAGCACATGTGCTTTTCATCACCGCCACAAAGCCACATCCTGGGCCCCCTTCAGCACACTTGCTCATGAGCAGCAACCCTGGTGGCATCCCCACAAAGAAGTATTTTCAACGAAGCTCTGCCCCATAGTTCTGGTCTGTCCTGGCAATGAGTGACCTAGGCAACTGGCTGTGAAGTAAATATAGATAGTTGTGGGGCTCATGAGGGGAGGAGATGTATCTTGTTTTCTCATTTAACTCTGCTTGGACCGTTCATGAAGATTTTCCTGTAAGTTCTCAATGCTCAGAGACGAAAACCTCCTGAAGTCTGCTGTGTGTTGTCAGCTCACATCCCCACCTCCACTTATGGATGCATGTTCTCTAGGCGTGGAAGAACGCAGCTTGATGACATGCATACCTAGTCTCTGGGTATCAGCAAGCGTGCCAGATGGACTACGACACTCATCAAAGCCCCAGGGAAGCATCCGAGGCACATGGATGTGCTGCCCTCGGACCAAGAGTTGCTTAGGACTGGGGAGCTGAGGGCTGTGCACACCCACCTGTTCCTCCGAAGCGTAGAGCACGTCCATTAGTCGCTGCACGAGGTCCTCATTCTCCTGCCCGTGCTCTTGGCAGAGCAGTTCAATCTCTCTCAGCTTCCCGAAGTAGAAATCCCTCTCCTTCTCCACACCTTCTAGGGCAAGTTTTAATGAGTGTACCTGCAGAGTGAGGGCAGAGAAGGAAACCCCACACAAGTCAGTGTATGAGGACCTAGAAAGCCAGACACAGAAATCACTGAAGTTCAAGTCTGAGAGAAGCAACATCATCTCAGCTTCAGCCTAGGCCAAAGGGTCCAAACCCAGGAGCACATGGAATGTTTGTCACCCAGTCAGGGTGATCCATCTACTTGCACAACTATGTACGGGCCAGGGAAGCTGTTCCTCTCTTGATAACATGGGATGGACCACATCTTTTTTCCTAACTTGTTGTTATGATATGATGTCTGTGTCTCCCCCAAATTTGTATGTTGAAATCCTACACTGTGATGGTATCAGGAGGCAGGTGACTGACTGACACCTCCTGTTGGGAGGTGACTGGATCATGAGGGTGGGGCCCTCATGAAGGATTTGTGCCCTTAGGAAAGAGTCCCAGGGATCCCACCATCTCAGCACAAGAAGACACCCTGAGAGGAACGGGCCCTCATCAGACAGTGAGTCCACTGATGCCCTGACCTTGGCGCTCACTGCCTCGAGTGGTAAGAAATGAATTTCTGTTGTTTCAGTTAGGGACATTTTGTTACAGAATCCCAACCTGACTCACGTACTTACTCAAGATCTACAGGGAGATTAAGTGTGATTTCTTAGTGAGGCTTTCTTCAGATCACTTGTATTAAAAGATACTCTTACTTGGGATTCCTTTAGCTATTGAATCAGAGGTGGATTTAGGGACCTCTAGGATTTTTTTTTCTACCCCAGGGGTTATGTAGTGCAAGTGATAGGCCAGAACCAATCAAAGCAGGGCCACAACACTGGCATCCGGGGCTGGGTCAGTCCTGAAGTGGGTGTGAGGAGACCTGCTGTCAATCTCAGGCTGGAGGTTCTGGTATGGACAACAGCAACATGCGGGTCCCCAAGAACTCCCCTTCTGTCGTACTTTGTTCATTTACATTTATGCAAAGATTCCAAACTGTGGGTCATGACCCCACACTGGGCTGCACAACTGAATGTGTGTGTGTGTAAAATTCGGCAACAGTCCAAGTTTCTGATGTTCAGAAATTAAATTCAAGAGCACTGGGGTCTGAGGCGTTGCTGGCAGCACCTGCCTGGGTCGACCTTGCACTGCAGATCTGTGACGTGCACTTCTCACGCTGCACGCCAACACACACTGCTGAAATACCTCCTCAGACCTGAGACTTGCAGGTTATGAATGGAGGCGCTTTTGCATACATACTGCTTTAACAGAAGCAGAATGGCTTGTTTACAGAAAACAAAGACTTTTAACATTTCCTCTGTCATTCTCAGTACACAAGTAAGTACCAGATTAGTAAACCCGGTGGGGGGGGGGTTGCATTGTGTTAGAGGAAGAAGTAGTCCTCATTAGTATGTAAACTTGCTTTTGTCTTTAACAAATGGCAAATTATATGTACACCACCAAATACATTTTTATTCTGAGACAGGTTTCACTATGTAGTCCTGGCTGGCCTGGAAGGCAGCATGCTGGGATTAAAGGTGTGCACCACCATACTTGGCTCCAATAAATTGATTTAAAATAAAATTTCTTTATGGTTTTCTGTCAGTAAATTAGATTTCTGTATCTCTTTTACATTTCTGTATGCCAGGGGGTCACATAAAATTTTTAGGGAGAAAAGGGTTATGAACGGAAAAAGTTTAAGAAACCCTGATGTAACATGTTTATTGTTTGGAAATAAATCCATTCTCATGGTTTTCCTTAGGTGAAGTCTGCTTTTCAATATAGTTAAAAAAAAAATCACCCTTTAACAGCATTAAAAAATTACATTTGAAAAATGTTATTTAAAGCAAAATCTCTTTAAAAATAGTTTTGATTCTGGGGCTGGAGAGATGATGGCTCAGTGGTTAGGAGCAATGGCTGCTCTTGCAGATGACCCAGGTTAGGTTCCCAGCACCCACATGGTGGCTAAGAACCATCCATAACTCCGGTTCTAAGGGATCTGATGCCTTCTTCTGGCATCCATGGGTACTGCACAACACAGAAGCACTTAGATACATGCAGGCAATACGCTCATACACATAAAATAAAAATAAATATTTTTCATTCTTTGAGAATTTCATACAATGTATTTTGATGATACTCCTCTTTTCAATAATCTTGGCCTTTGCAATGCTCTCTGGAATTACTGGCTCATTCACACACAGTGGCACACACCACCATCCTTTCACCCTGCACCTGACTATCCTGGAAGCCTCAGGAATTGGGCCGCTTGGCATTGACCTCACAGATACCCTCATGTAGCTCCTTACAAAGGTGTGTGGGTTTAGTTTGTTAACTCTAAATTCTTGTTCCTGTTAAGACTGGATATTTGTGAAAACACAAAGCAACCAGCCTGAACTTCAGGGGAAAGAAAGCCCCCTAATTCTAGATCTTCCTGCTTCAGGGAAAGAAACCCCATCCCTGAGCTTAGCCACCAAATCCCTGTCAACCCTGTACTGGTGCTATGATCTGTGGCTCTTTGGTTACATGCACCCCCCAGTTATCAGCTCTCCGAAACCAAGCAAGCGCATTGCGTGACTGTTCAACAGGAACAACTTGGGGGAGATTTACTTTGGCTCACAGTTCAGGGGTTAGAGCCCATCATGGTGGGGAAGGTACAGTATAGGGCTTGGCTTGTGGCGACAGGAGCCAGTTATTGCCAGCAGGAGCTGCTTGTTACATGGCACCAATAGGGAAGCAGAAAGTCAGGCTGGAAGTGGGGCTGAGCTGTACTCCTTAAGGCCTACCACATTTTGCACCCCACTTCCTCCAGCTGGACCCTAACTCCTAGGTTCCACAACCTTTTGATGCAGCAGCACCAGTTGGGGACCAAGTATTATGTATGACATGTGAGTTTGGAGGCCAGGATATCAACCTTCAAACCATAACAGACACAGTTGCCTTACTGAAACCCAGGTCCAGTGGCCTGGGCTTTGCTTTACATGATGCATTGAGGCTTTTGTGGAAATATTCAGCCTGAGCTGGGCTTGGCTGGAATCCTGATGTGTTAGGGAAGATGTGCTGACCTAGCAACATCTCCTAGTAAAAACTGACAGCAGTCAGGCATGGCAGGCACACCTGTAATCCTGGTAACTCAGGAGACAGAGGGAGGGTGAGCTCTGTGAGTTCAAGGCCAGTCTGTGCTACTAGGCAGAAGAAAGCCTGACATTCACTACGTTAAATGACTGAACGTTGGCTGGCAATGAAGGTCCATCAGCATGGACCCACTAGGGAAACTGATGCCGGTCTCTTCCTCACATGTCACAGTGGATGTGAATGACAGAGGAGGTATGGAGAGGGACCCTGGAAAGTCAGGTTCAAAGGCCCCAGGGCAGGTTTCCCTTCACAATTTTCCAAACTCTTTCCAGGAGTGTCCACAGACTGCAGGTCCTCCCAGAGCCCACTGTCCCGAGCAGATCCTTTAACAGCAGTGATTCCAGTCTGTTTCCTGTACATTTCATGTACACTGCCTCCTCCCCAGCTTTTGGTTCATTTCTATCAATGGAGTGGCCTAGCCCAGAGCTGCTTTTGTAACACATCGTGGGAGAATGCCTGAATGAAAACGCAGGGCCAAGTGAATGAAAATTCTCCAAATTTATGGCACTTGTCACTTTCTGTTACCACCATAATTCATGCTTCTACCTAGGCATTTGCTTCTTGTCCCTGTGACCTCAGTTCTAACACTGGGACATCTGAATGGCCACCCACCTGCCTCAGGGTCCTCCTGAAAGGCTTCAAGGATAGACACATGGAGGGAGCAATCCCAGGCTACCAGGTAAACACATGGAGCAAGAGCTCAGTAAACATGTGCTCAGCGGAGGCCTTCCAGTTAGGGTGTGGCCACCGGATTCCCCCTAGGGTCAGACAGAGAACAGGAGGGGAGAGAGGCCTGAAGAGGTACTGAAGGAAGGACATCAGGTGGATTGGTCCCCTCTCTAGAGCGTCGTTATAGATGGCAGGATAGTTGGGCCAAGGGGGATGGAGACGCTTTGTGTGATCTGAGCTGATGGGAACTTAGTACTGGCCCCAAGGAGAGCATGAGGGTTGGCTAAGTCAAGGCTCTAGGGGACAGGGGGCAGGCAACTAAGGACCTGGAGGTTTCCATGTGGTTGGAATTGGGAATGGAAAGGTGGAAACCAGGGTGGGGTGGAAGAAGGCAGGGAGGAGGGGAGGCACGAAGAACATGTGTTGCTGATGATATCGGAAGATCTGAGTTGCTTAGGGAAAAAGTGGCATAAATCCACAGCATTGTGAACCTAAGGCTTTATTCTCCCCAGGGCCACCCAGACATGCTGGAGTCAGAGTCTCCTGGCCTGAGGCTCGTTACTGCTGTCCTCACTGCCTTTCATCTGAGCAGAAGTCATCACTGAAAACTCTCTGGCCGTTGACAGAAGGCCAGTAGGTAATTAGAGCACTCCAGCTTTCTAATCAAAGTGTTACCCACCAGTGACTTAAGGTTTTACCTAAGGCTTTAAAGTGATCAGAATTGCAAAGAGCCACCCCAGTTAAGCAGCTGTCTGCTTTTTCAACTGGATTCTTGACCGAAAATACACAATTATCTCAAAAATCTGTTTCCAGACTCTTGCCTCATCAGGTAGAAGATTAATCACTAGGGCAGGCCCGATCAGTGGCTGGGTACACAGCCTGAGGATCTGCAGTCAAGTCCCTTCACAATGGCCAAGGGGCCTGTGAGACTCCTGTGTACTGGGGAAGGTGGGTGGCTTCTGCAGTGGGCGTTTTTGTTTCATTCGTTGTAAACTATGTATAATCTTAGGCAAAATTAGCTACTGCTAGTTGGAAAGCATACGGATGCTTTTGGATCAAACCCAGAGCCTCCGGCATGCAAAGGTGCTTTACCACAGAGCCACATCCCCAGCTCCATACCTAAAGTTTTACATTAGATAGTTCAATGGTGGAGCTAGATTTGCTGTAATTGTGAGATGCTGTTAGATCAGAAGGAAATTTCTCCTTAAACACAGCTGCTGCCTTTCAGGTCCCCAAGCACTGGGCTTAGTGCTCCTGGGTGTCCCACTTCTGCGACTGTAGGGAGGGCTGTTTTTTTTAAACTTTAGAAATAATCTCTGGTGTAAGGGAGGGGCAGTGTATCCATCTTGCTACCATTACGTTACCAGCATTAAATACAGTATCTAACATGTAACAGGCTCAAAACACAGCTGCTGAAGGAGGGAGGGAGAGGGAGCCAGGTAAACGGTCCTGTAGCCTTAACACTCTTCAGATGGCCAGAAGTGGACAGGCTCAGAGTTCAGGATGGTCATTGAGGAGTAGGGAGCTCAGAGGGTGGCCTGAAGCAGGCCATGTCATCTGCCCCATCTTAATGCACAGTGTCAAGCTTTGTGACTAACACTGCTGATTTTTCTTCCTGAACAATCTCTTGTTCTCATTGGCTGAAAACCACTGGCTCTGTCTTGCCTCCCGTTCCTCATCCCAGGCCGGCGGGGGTGTGGCCTCCTCACCCCTCACACACATCACTGCTCCCAGAGACATGTTCGGATGATGAGTTACCTGCTCATTAAGCTGTATGACCTGTGTTTCTAAATCTTTGTCCGATCTGGATGCTGAGCCGCTGGATGAAGCCCTTTTGGCAGATGAGGGACGAGAAGGTGTGGACCCCGGTTTAGATGCTGGACTTGATTTGGCTGCACCTAGAAGCAACCAGAATAACTTATAAGTATAGCCAATATGAAACATGATTTTTAGATATGTAGAAGATGCATGGTATAAAAGGAGCCTCCTAAAAACTGCACTACAGTCGGCACAAATGCACTATCCATTTTACCACCATTCTGTGTGACCAGCGCTAAGCACAGGCTCTGTCACAAAAACCAGGCTCAGCTACTAGCTGCTGAAAGAAAAGAGAGATGGAGAGGGAGCCAGCCCAATTCCAAAGGAGTCCCAACACTTTTTAGACTGGCCTGACCTGAGGGTAGAGGCTAGGCCAACCCACAGCATCCTGGGCAATGTGCTGAACTTTTGTGGAAACAGTTTCTTCTCAAGTAGAAGAGGTTACTGCAATTGTTTCTTCTCTCTCCAGAGCTAAGATAATAGCTACAATGAACCTTAAGAGGCTGAGGGTTGCAGAGATGGCTTGGTAGGCAAAGCATTTAATGTACAAACCCGAGAATCTGGGTTTGCATCCTGGAACCACGTAAAGGTGGATGCAGCACCTGTTTGTAATTCTGGGGCTTCTGCTATGAGATGGGAAGCAGAGAAAGGAGGGTCCCTAGAAACTCCCGGGGGCCAGTAGGCCTGGTGCACAGTGGCCAACAAGAGACCCTGACTCGAATGAGGTGGAAGGTGATAAAGGCGAAGGCGAGGACCAACACCCAAAGTTGTCCTCTGTCCTCCACCTGTGATACACACATGCCTGAAACCACAGACACGAACACAAAAGATTCAAAATGAAAAAGGGAGTCAGAGATGGCTCAGCACTTGCTGCTCTTGCAGAGGACCCTGCTTAGCACCTCAGGGGGACTAATGACCATCTCTAACAGCATTCCAAGAGATCTGATGCGATGCACATGTGATACAGAGATGTATATATGCACGCAAAACACTCATACACATAAAATCTTTAAAAATAAATAAGGGTCTTTGGTTCCTCAACTTATGACTGTACTTGAATTTCCAAGAGAAAAGGCCCTGTAAGAGGCTTGTACTTTAGAGGAAACGCTAACACAGATGCATGTATTTTCTCTTTCAACAAATGTCCTAGATTCAAGATTGAAGAAGCCCACGAGCAATGGGGTCTCCATGGCAACAAGTACCCCTGATGTCCAAATCTTGGTTTCTAAACGTCATTCTGCAAAAAAGGGGCTTGAGATGCTGCCGATGCCAGGGATGGGGCAGAGAAGGAACAGGATGAGCCTATGACAGCTTGTGGCAAAAACCAAAGATGGGGCCAAGGCAAAGGGCATAGGGGCCAGTGTGAAGGGGCTTCTGACCAGTCATACTGGGCAGTCTGCCTATCAGGAAGAATAATGGCTATAACTTATGTGATGCTTTGAGTACATAAAATCCATCAGTTCACGATGAGGTGGTGGGGAGAGAAGGGATATAAGGATCTCACAGAAGTGACAATCAGTAAATGTACAGGAAATGGCAGACCTAGAGGAAACACAAATGTGCAACATCCCTCAGGAAGCATGAACTCCAGATGCAGCTCAATGGTGGATGCCAAAACATTAGACAGGAAACTTTTAGGGAACAAGACACTGACATGTTACTTGCAAAGGAAGAAACCCTTTACACAAAGGGGAGTATGCCAAAACATTAGACACAGGAAACTTTTAGGACAAGACACTGACATGTTACTTGCAAAGGAAGAAACCCTTTACACAAAGGGGAGTTATGGGGTCAGCACCTTATACTAAGTGATCACTGAGTAATAACAACACACTGTGATTTCAGGTAGGACTTCACCTATGTGGCGCTCAGCCCACCATGGACTCACTGTCTACAACACAGCACAGACATGGGAGTGGCTTCCACAGCCCAACAGAAGTCACGAGGTACATGCAGGGGTGAAGAGCCTCTGGGCTGCTTCTGGGGCCGGCCCTTCTGCTTTGGTTTTGAACACAGTCCCAAGCAGAGGCAGCTCTGGTTTTCCTGTTTGCATAGGTGTCCCTCCTGTGTGTTCCCTTGACCCAATAAATTCTACACTATAGTCTCCCAGCCTCTGCCCTTCTAGAAGATTCTTGGAGGGCAGGGGACATGTCTTCTCGTGTCTGCATTACACAATGTTAGGCTAAATTCATTTGGTGAGGGAACCAATGTTTAGATAAATAGACAAATAAGCAGATAAAACATGTGGTTTCCAACTTTACAGCTTCCCACTTTTCTGGGTTCTGACAGATTAGGAAGAGACAGGGGATTACAAAGAAACCAACAGCTGCAAGTTTCAACCAATTCCCTAATTACAATGCAGCCAACAGGAAGACTGTAAAATTTATATTGCTGTCTTCAGGTGCCTGGAGTCATTAGTTACAGATGCCAGTCATACCTCTGAGACACACTGACAGTATTACAGCCTTGAAAACACACCCCTGTTAAACAAGGGGAAAGACTCTTCTTTAAAAGTAGAGGGAAAGGTCCAGTAGATCTGAATATGATTAAATTGGGAATGACTTAAAACAGTCTGAGTTCTGAAAAGAGAAGTCAGTGGGGATCTGGAAATCTAGAAATCTCACCTATGTGCAGAAAGTGCTAGGGAGCTCTCGTCTACTTATGATGGGCAAACTGCTACAAGGACCCTCCTCTCCATACAGAATCCTTCTAGAACCTTACTCCTACTTCCTATTGAGCAGCTTTAGTCAGCTGAACAGATTGTTGAGGAGCAGTCAGGGAACACAATGACCTGCCCGGAGCCATCTTAGCAGGCAGCCATCTAGCCCAGGGAAGCTGCTTTTACAAAATCAAGTCCTTCTAGACTTTTTTAAAAAAAATGCACAAGACATCATATTTTAATGAAAAGAAAGTCTAAAAGACTGCAAACAACAGCCAATGATCAGTGCTCCTTATTTAATAAATGCACATTAATTTAGTTCCTACCACAGCCACATACTGGAAGTCGCTCAAAGACTAAGATGCAGTCTAAGGTCTCTTCAGGTGCACAGTCTCCCAGGACCAACAGTTACCTGGGATTCCCCAGGTGTGACACCCTCTCTACCTTCTTGGGAGCAGGCCAGTGTTCTGGAACTCCACAATCACCCAGTGTGGACTGGGACGTTCTTCTGCATGTTAACACCCTCTCCCCCTGCTTCCTTTGGGTGTCTAACCATGTCCTTCATCTTGGACTGTCACACTCTCTGGAGGCCACAGTGCCCGGAATGCTTTCCTGAGCAGCCGCTGGCTGTACCAACTGCACTGGTGTGGTGATTCCTGAATGCCTGCTTCTTAATTTCTTCCTGTTTGCTCATTAGGAGGAACATCCTGATTATCATTGATTTCCTTGTGCTTTCCAAACAACCTAATCAGAATCGCAAAATCTTTCTCATTTGAAATACCAGATACCAATGACTTTCGATCTGCTCTTTTCCAAATGTGAGCTCCACTCTGTGCCTCCTCTGGTCAGCCCACTCGGTGTCCTCTGTGAGTGTGTGACTGTGAGTATTATGATACAGGAGGTGCATCTGTTTTGTTTGCTACTGACAACAGCCAAGCACAAGTGCCTAACCCTGCTGCTATCAGAACTCATCAAAAACTTAGCACTGGGGGAAAGTTTGAGCCTGGCTGGGGGAGCCAATGTGCAGGAAACCAATGAGAAGTTGTCAGCCTCACCGAGACAGGGCCCTTCCTAGGTGTCCTCTCCAGGTCCTCTACGTAGGGGATGATGAGGGCCCCTTCCATGTGGAATCGGGTGGAGCAGCTGATTGGGTCAGCACAGTCATCTGGTAAAGTGCAGGGGGGGGAGCCGGGTGGCTTGCTCCAGGTGGTCTACATATCTGCTACTGCAGAAGGGGTTTCCGGGGAGAATGTGTGCAGAGTCCCCACTCCAGGCAGTTCTTCCTAAGTAGGTCACCAAAAGATGTGGCTGGTGGCAATATCCAAGCTCAGGCCATCAGACACACATGTTCTCACATTCTGCCTTATCTGTTTGACATTAGTTTGAGAAGAAATGAACATGGAAGGATCAGAATCGTGGGAAAGCTTGTCATCATGTATAATGCAGGACCACTACTAGTTACGATTCCAGGACACTATTAAATATTGCTTGAAGAAATTGAGCTGTTTGATAAGGAGGAGAAGCGGTCCTGGCAAGTCAATCCCTGGGGGCACAAGCACAGCATCAGGTGGCTGGGAGACAAGAGGTGAGGGCGATGCATTCTGCAAGGTTCCTGGGAGAGAGGCCAGGACTGCTCCAGACCCTGCCGTGAAGGTGGTGGCAGTCACACAGCCTCCCAGAGAAACTGCTTTCTCCTGGAGGAAACACATCCTCTCTGGACAGAGCTCAGCACTTGCTCTGTGTGGTTCTGATTCTCCAAGCCCACAGCCTCAGCCTTAAGATAGAATTGTTTCTTGTAAAGGTGAGTTGGAACCCAGGACCCAGGCTTTCATGCTGGCCCCCATGAGTGTCCATCAGGAATGCTCGAGATCAGAGAGGGAAACAGGAGAATCAGATCTGCGGTCCTCAGCTACACACACACACACACACACACACACACACACACACACACGGAGGGGGGGGCGGAGGGGGGGTCGGGGGGAGCAGAGCTTCCATCCCACCACCACGTTACTCTGGGAGAAGGGCGGGCTGAACTGAGGAAGCAGGGGGTACAGCACACATTTGGAAGATGTAATAATAGATCAAAGTCATTCATATCTGCTCTTTCAAATGAAGGGTTTTTGCAGTTGATCAGGTTGTTTGGAAAGAAGCAGAGATAAATCAAAGATAAATGAGGACGTACCAACTAATGAACAAATAGGACGAAATCAAGGAACAGAAGCATCACCTCAGTTGAGGGTTTTTCTTACACACAAGTCAAGAGTATTAATTTGGAGGTTCATCTTCAGAAGGATGTACAGTGACTCCTTAAACCATGAGCTGATGAAATTATTTATGTGCATACACAATGTATGCATGCCTGTGGAGGCCAGAAGAGGGTACTGGATCCCCTGGAGCTGACATTACAGGCGGTTGTGAGCC